AGGTTAACATAGGATGTTGATATTCTACCTTCGAGAGAAAGGTATGTAATACAATCTAATTTCCAAATACATGTCGATGCCTTATTTTTCTAAAATATTTCTATTTTTTCCATAACGCCTCTAGGTCAAAAATCCAAGGTCTGACTAGGTTGTTTTTTTATATTGTTCTAATTCTGAACTTGATGTTCTAACCGATCCGGTCTTAAAACTTCTTCCAATTTTTAAGACTGGATCGAAAGTTCATGTTCTCGCTGATTCTTAAAAAAAAAAAAGTGTAGAGAATTAGGTTGGAATTGGCTTGGCTAAAGGAGTTTATTCCCCTTCTTTGGTAATCATTTTCTTCTAATGCTTCTTTTTTGATTTGTTCATGTATACCTTGTACATTGATTTTTGATTTAATGAAAAGTTTGTGTTAATGTTAAAAAAAGTAAAAAGAAAAAAAGAAAAACAAAAAAGTAAAAAGAAAAAAAAAAAAAAAAAAAAAAGAAAAAGAAAAGAAAAGAAAAAAAAAGAAAAGAGAGAATTGGGTTGGAGCTTGCATTAGTTCGTCATTAAGGAAAAAAAAAAAAACGCAAAAGTATTTTGAACTAATATGAACATCATATCCAGCCCTGCTGTTTTTACATAAAGATCGTGTTAGAAGTTGGAGATCCGATCTAATCGTTCAAAAGAAATTATAAATTTGGAATTATAAAATTGGATGGCAATTCCATGTTCCAACTGGATTTGTTTACAAAAATTCCAAGTTGGAATTTCAAGTTGCACCTCAAACTTGGGGGCAACAAAAACAGGGAAAGGTTTCTATGTTTCTCTTACAGCATAGAAGTTCTATCCTCCCCTACCATTCAACCATCCAATTTTGATCAAGAGAGCCACTCACAGTTTGATCATAGATCCGACATATCAAAGTATTTTATTTTTAGTTTTTTTATACAAATTGTATAAATATTAAATTTGGTACATGCCATCTTCTCATTGCCGCACCTATTAAAAATATTAAAAATAAATTTTTGATAAAATATAATGACCAAAATACCCCTTGAAATTTCAGGGGTATTTTGGTCATTTTATTTTATTGAAAATATTTTTTTTTATATTTTTTGCTAGTGCAAGTTTAATAGAGAAATGAACATCATTTGGTGTCAAAATAGTTTATAGAAAAAAAAAGTTAAAAATAAAATAGTGTAGAGACGTGACATTGTGATTGGCGCAATCTTAACCCTCCATTCAATATGAACGGTTAGATAAAGGGAGGATAGAACTTCTATGCTGTAAGAGAAGTATAGAAAGCTTGTCAAAAAAAAAAACCACTAGGTCGGAAGTCCAAATCCCTATCCACAGACATTTATATATTTATAAAATAAAAAATTAGCAAACAAAGATATGGGCACAGAATATAAAATACAAAGCTCATTTTTTAAAAGGTGCAGTTGGCATACGGATGGATCCGTAGTCGTAGACGTAAGGTGCACCTTCAAATTTTATCATGGTATAAATTTTTGATGTAAAATGTTCTTAAGATTATCTCAAAATCTATTTTTATGCCTAATCATAAAATTTTAAATTTTAAAAATGGTTAAAATCAAGTAAATCTATAAACATATGAAAATATTGAAAATTGACGGTGTAGATAATATGTTATAAAATACACTATTTCTGCGACTTAAAATCTTTTTATTTTTCATGATCATACATCTCAAAGAATCAAAGGGTTTTTCAATATTAAAATAATCTTTTCCAATGGATTTTTGAGGTCCATCCATAGTTGTAGAGATAAGATTGCAACCTTATATAAACTTTTTCCTTTTTTAAATACCAACAAAGTAGTCCCTTTCATTTTTTGTATTTGTTTTTCAGTTTTAAGAGAGGCAATATTTTACATTCTTCCTCTTGAAAAGGCAAAGAAGTCGACATTGGTGGGGGGCATAGCTCTTTCCTTGGACCATGGATATGGATGGTTGAGCAACTCATAATTTTTTCTCAAGAGCCCTTAATCAACTAAGGGAAAGTGTTTTTTTTAATAGGAAAAGTATATAAAGAGATCATTTATTTTTGGCATGAGGAGATCACAATTAATCTATTCTGTCGGATTTTAAATTAGGTAGTTGTGAGCTTGTCATTGATTAGGTTCAAAGTTTAAGTTTTTATTTCAAACTTCATTACAGACACCGCAAGCTATCTAATTTAAAACTGGATGGCTAGAGATATTTGTAACCTCCTTGTAATAAAGGTAAAGGGTACGGTTTCTATATGGTGTTGCAACCTTAAACAATCCAATTAAGGCGCACCTCTAAATTTTATCATAACATATAATTTTGTTCAAAAAAATTTCTAGGATTATCTTAAAACCTATTGTCATATCTAATTAGAAAATTTTAATTTTAAAAAAAGGTTAAAATCAAGTAGATCTATAAATATATGAAAATCATGAAAATTGACGGTCTAGATGATGTGTTGCAAGATGCACCATTTTTGGGACTCAAAAACTTTTTTTTTTTTGTTTACATATTCATACATCGTGATATCTAGATGATTAATTAGAGAGTTTTTCAACATTAAAGTCACCTTTCTGATATAATTTTGAGGTGCATATATGATTCTACATTTTAAGGTTGTAACCTTATATAAATTTTTTCCAAAGGTAAATGGTCTCATAGTATATAATTCTTTTTTAGTATATGAGCATTTAGGTATTCTTTATTTAACAAATGAGGTTAAAAATGTCCATCATCAATGACCATTCCAGACAAAAGAGAGGCCAAAGCAACATCTCAAAAAAAGAAAAAGAAAGGCCTAAGCTGGAACGGACCAGCCGGATCGTCCGGTTGAACCTATCGATCTTACGTGTTTAGACAAAATATTGACTAGTTACTCACATTTTTATTTATCTGTTTTTATATTTTTTAAAATCTAACAAGGGATTAAATCTGACCAGACTAGTGCCCCTCATCGATGGCTGGTAGCTTAATTCATACAATATGGGTTAGGGAAATCTATCCAAATACCCATTAGATATGAACTGTTTTTTTACCCATATCTTTGTTTAATTTAAAAAGGCCATCAAATGATACGTGATCATGACTTTGTTGATAAATTTCCCTACCAACCTTTTTAGATAAAAGACGTTTACATGAATCTTTTTCCAACTTATGGTTCTATCTTAAAACATCTCCACACCTTCCTCCAATAGTCGCCTCCCACTTAAAATTTCACCCTCCATCCTTTCTTCCTTTATCGCCTTTTGGTGCTTATTCCCCAAATTTTTCTAGGTTACTCCTATCTCCACGTCATTGCTTTCCACACGCCTTCCTTTCCATAGTATTTTCCTATAAATTTTTCTAGGTTTACTCCTATCTCCACGTCATTGCTTTCCTCACGCCTTCGTTTTCCATAGTATTTTCTTATGAGCTTCTTTTTTTTCTGATTAAATACTATGAAATTATTTATGTTTAATATCAGTAAGGAAGTAGCTATTATTGACAGCAAAAAAATAGAGAAAAAGAATGCACTTTCGATATTTTAAGTCGATAATCCAAAAAAATTGAGAGATTGAAGAAGATATCGCATATAAAATTAGAGTTGGATGGGAGAAGTGGAGATGTGCAACCATAATTTTCTATAATTGTCGCATACCAATGAAATTAAAGGCCAAATTTTATAGACAATTGTGAGACTAGTTACGCTTTATGGAGCAGAATGTTGTGCGGTCAAAAAACAATATACCTATAAAATGAGTGTAGCGGAGATCAAGATGTTGAAATAGATGAGTGACAAGTCAAGAAAGATAGAATTCTAAATGAATACATTTGAAAAACTTTAAGTAAGCAACCAATAGGTGATATGATGAAAGAGAATAGACTTAGATTGACTGACCGTGTACGGTAAAAACCCAATACAACATCTATTAAGAAGTATAAGTTAATTCAAATGAAAGGCTAAAAAAAGACGAAAAATAATCCCAAAAAAACATGGTTGAAAATAGTAAAGAAAAACATAAAGATTCATAACCTCACTAAAAAGTATGACTCTTAATAGATGAGAATAGCCAATAAAAATTCATATAACCGACCCCAATTAATTGAAAAAAAACTTTTAACGATGATAAGTTGTGACCTTGTACCAAAACAAATTTCCTTTTACCCTTTGACCCAAATAATGAAAACATATTTTCCGGTTTCATCAAGATGCTAATCAAACAGAGCATATTCAAATAAAAAATTTGAATATTTCATCAATTTATAGCAAAACTGAAATCATTTTTAGTGAATCATTTTCAAGGGAGCCAAACTGACCTTTTATTTGTACGTTAGCCATGTCCTAGAATTCTCACCTGTCTAGTATATCCTCTGCCTCTTCCAAATTTGTATGCATGTGCATGCATGCATGCGTGTGCGCGAATGAGCGCTCACACGTGTTTGATGGGCCTTTGCCAAAGTTCATCTAGAAAACAACACCCACTATTTACTGAGATAAGTACATGGAAAAGGTGAATTAATGAGGGCTCCAAATTTGTTTGTTTATGAGAATAGAGTCCATCAAGTGGTAATAAACCAGGTAAATAAACTACCATAAATATCCAACTGGTTCCCACCCAAAAGTCATGGTGAAACAATTTATGAGGCCCTCATGGCTGGACCCCATGCCTTAGATTGGTTGATCCTAATCCCCCACAGACAGCTGGCCATCAACTTTTCAAAAAGGTGACTGAAATAGAATCCAATGGGCTGTGCACCATAATGTTTAATGGTAAAACACAGGATTACAAAGACCCCAAGGCCCTGTGGTTTTGAGTGGTCAGGCTCAGAAGGAGAAATGAAGTTCCTTTTCCAGTTCCCATGCTGCTCTTGTTTCTGCTTCATGAAGGGCAAGAAAGGGAAGTCCAAGGTGAAGGAGGCCGCGAAATCTGAATAACCATTGCAGTTCCATGGAGATCATGCCATTGCACATTTTACCAGCGGAGCCTCTGGTACCAACCAAAAAACCCTTTCAAGTATGTAATTTTCTTGTTAGTGTTTATGTAACGGCCTGAAGGCCACCTTTGAATGTGTGATCCTCAATTTTAGTGATGCATGAAAAGCCTTTTTGATGGTGGATGGTGCATGGAAGGCTTTTATTCATCTTTTCTCTGCTCAGGTTCTTTGTTCTTGGCTAAACCCATCTCCTCCATTTGTTGTTCGATGGACACCAGACCCGTTTGTGCAAGAAACCTGCAACATATTGAAATGAATTAAAGGTTAGGTAGACAATCCAACTTTGCAACGCTTGAGATACATTAAAAACTGGGGTTTTGTAAATCGCATCCACAGATTCCACATAAAATTTTGCCCAACAATTATTTCAAGGATGCTGTTCTTTTTTTCACAAGTGAGCCACGAGAAACTTCTGCCATTTAAAGTTGTTTGTGTAGCAATTTCTCTGTAAAATTAAATAGGATCAAAGGTGTTCCATTTTTGGTAATACGTGTTTGCATTGCTAAACTACTTATAGAACTAATAACTAACCACAGGTTAGCTGATGAAATGAGGCCCAATTCCAAGAAAGCATCAGTGACTTGAGGACTCGTAGGCATGTTAATGGCAGAAGCAAATAAATGGAGAAAAGAAACAAAATTTCCAGTTATCATTTGGGGAATGCAATCACTGATATGGAAGTTTTAGGATTAGCATAACATTGCAAGGTACCATGATATTCGGTAACTGAGCAAAAATAACACAAAAGAAAGGGAAACATTAAAATAGAGTATGAAACACTTGCATGAATTCACTAAGGCGGAGAAATTGCAAGATCAAAACAGTACCTATACCAGTCTCATTCTAAATGACAATGCTACTCCCGCACTAGTACTTCAAATACCAAACAAATGAGGCAATTAGTACAAATGTGCAAAATGAAACAGGGTAAATAAGCATTTTGAAAAAATCTCTTCAACCCAGTCAATGTTCTGAAACTCCAAGTTTCATAAGCACCTGCATGAATTCTGCAGTTCTATCATGCACTATTTTCACATATTCCAGAAAAGAATATGCTGTGACTGCCTTCTTTCAGAACATATTAGTATATGTATATGGATGTATTAAAGAAGAATCTCAACAGTTTGTGAGCTTCAATATGCAGCAACTTGACAAATAACTTAAAGCTATTTCACAGGCATCTGAGGATGACAGATGAATGCTTGAAACTCAAGGTCAAGAGTATAGATGACGGGGCATAAAAGAGCAAGGAATATTAAGTACCTCAACAATACCTTAAAAGTGATTTGAGACAAGGTGGCTAAAAATTAATAAACGATTCAAGGTGCTCCAAGGTGTTAAAAGTATCAATTAGCAGATCATTCAACCAAGGGAAATGTTTTGGCGGGACTGCAGTTGCATGCAACTGCATCCCAGAACTCCGTCTTGGAGATGGATTGAGGATCCAAAACACCTGCCAGTCACCAGTGAATCCATGTCCTCCCCCAAATGTTGAATTTGGAGCTACCGAAATGGTGCAGATCCATGAATCCAGAAAAAATTGAAATCCATGGTCCAGGAAAAGTTGTAAGATAGATCAATTTTTGGGTTCCAGATCCTCGATTGACCCATTCTTTGGTTTTTTCAATTCCATGATCGTGGATGTCTAGCAGATGGATTTGCAGAGTTTTGGGTCCTTAATCCATCCCAAAGATGCATGCAACTGCAGTTGCGCCAAAACCTTACCCTACAACCAATGTACAGTAGGGTATTTCCAGTTAGAATATTAGAAAGTGCATTTCGTGAACTTTCAATGCATATTGTGCTCATCTCAAAAGTGAGTTGGCAGATCTATCTATTTGTCATAATTCAGTCATTTATTTTGTCATCATATAATCTAATTCGTCAGTTTCCCCCTTTTTCTAGAACTAACATGAAGCATAAGTTATCATTTCAGATAAAGTCAGAACACTAAGAACAAATAGGCTATGGTTAATTATAAAAAACTATATTATAATCTACAGAATATGCTAAGGACCACTATCTGAAAAAAAAAGGTAACTATTTCAATGTAACTCTACAGAATATGCCAAGGACCAATATCTGAGAAAAAGATAACTATTTCATTGTAACCCATGGAATATGTCAAGGTCCACTAGTCTTTTTTTTTCCCTTTCCTTTTTGTACTAGAACAAATACAAGCAAAACCATGCATTCCCATTTCTTCCTTCGTCTTCGTCATAGATAAGTCATAACTTACATGTCTAGTTGCCTCAACAAAGCAACCAGCATACTTGTTAGAGGAGAATTATGAGATAAAAAATTTTGTGGCCATTTCCTTTTACAACAAAGATAAGACTCCCCAGCAAGTATAGTAAAGCTTGTGAGAAACCAACCTTTGGACTCTTAGCTACACTATATGAGTACATATAAATTCTTACTGTGACTTGCAAGACGAGTATATTGTGTAACCTGATGCTCATGTTTCGGGAAAAAAAAAGAAAAATATTGTTCATATATGACTTTGATAATAAATAAAGTTGCTAAAAGGAAAAACCAAAAAAGAAACAGGATCCCAAATCTATCCACATCATAGGTTGAGTGCCCATTTGGGGAGAGCTCCTTATCTCAACCTTTAGGTTGCAGGTTTGGCAGAATTAGACTTAGGGAACTGGTAGTCAGGGTAGTGGGTGCTATAACATAACATCTTGAGGACCATTCCTATCATAGGTAGTAGATCCTTACCCTACTGATCTACCCATAAAAAATGCTTGCAGGTTTGGAACCCATGTAGATCTGCCTATAGAAAAATAAGAGATGAAAAGATAAACACCAATAAAAGAGATATTTCTTTTATCTATAGAAAGAATTGGGATTTTTTCTGTGGGTTGGTTAATAAAATGAGACCCACGATGCACAAAGGGCATCCATACATCATAAATTAACTAATGCATAAAAACTTTGATCATATTGAATGAAGACCAGAGTCCAGCAATGAAGCCAAAACAGACAAGGTGACTAATGCACCCAAAAAAGTGGTGCCAGAGCATTGACAAACAAATACCTAAAAGAAGTTTAAGGTTTACTACGGATAAATCTATACAATATTAAAGAGGACAGGCAAAGGAATTAGCCAAATGATTATAGAAAATTGTCATCAGCACTTCCTATTCTAGCATTGAATATATGGCAGAGGATTACCAATTAAGGAGTGCAAAAAGCATTCCACTCAGAAAAATGAGCACCAGGATGTGTAATATCAACAAAGAATTTTGAGAGAAGAATGCTGCAAAGAGCATGGCAGCAAGGCAAAAGCCTAGAGCCAGAAAAGTAAAGTTAAGCACCAACCACGTAGGTCTCTGCAATAGAAAAGTGAAAACTTATTAGGTATTTCAATGTCATTAACAGATGGCAAATGGTTTTGAAATTCAGATTAGATGAACTCAAGTAACTCATGAAAATTTCCCAGAAATCAATTATGAAAAATGATAGAAACTATACGCACATTAACACCAGGAGCTAAAGCACCCAACAATACTGCTTCGGCAATAGGCACATTTTTTGAACTGGAAGAGGCAAAACCCATTTCTGGACCTTCAAAGGAAATATCTGTCAAGAAGAAAAGAAAGGGATGGTTTAGAATTCCATAAAGTTTTTTTTTTTTTGTTAAGTCAGTGGGGGGAGAAGGCCCCCTACCCGATTTTCATTAGTAATAAGACAAAAGTACATCTCATAAATTCACAACCCCAGAATAGGGTAGTTGTGCCATCATGATGTAACAAGAGAAAAGGGGGGGGGAAGGAAAAGAAAAGAAAGAAAAAAAACTCGATCTATCTAAATATCATATGTTTGCATACCATATATTAGTCATGGCACCAAATAATCAGTAGATTCAAGGGGAAACAAGATCTAAATATCTATCTTCGAATAATTTGATATAAATGTGATTAATAACAAGGAAAAAGACAGAAGTTCAACTCAAGTCCTCAGGATGAAAATTATTAATAACTAGTCCAGTATGCATCACATAAGTCACTTATGAATGCACAGACAGAGCAAGTAGGAAACGATGACATAGTAGATATGGATTTCAGCCACTGGTTATTGTTTAATATAAGCGATGCAAAACAGCTGCAGAATCAATGCACCATCTAAAATAATAACTAGTGCAAGAAGAGTTCAGAGTAGTTAATTTGGCAAGAATACTTCAAAATTACTCACCCAAAAAAAAGAATACTTCAAACTTCAGATGTATTAGGCGACTGATGAAGAGCAAGTTCAACTGGATGCCAGAATTTGGATTAAAGCTCATGAGAGCTTGAAGAATTGATAAGGTTTAGCACTCTTAAATGCCAAAAAAAATAAAAATAAAAAATAAAAAATAAAAAATAAAAAATAGGAAATAAATATAGGTTTATCCTTGTTACCTCTGACAAAGTTTGGATGGAATTAATTACCACTGGGATAACTATATAAAGTGGTCAAAAAGGCTAGAATTTAACTATTAACAAAATCAGGAAAAACTAACAGAATGCATAAATATTTCTTTGAACAAATGATAGCAAAACTAATTTGGAAGTACATGCAGAAGAACAAGGAATTCCAAGTAGAGAAAACTTCTTTAAGATTCACATGGGTTTATTCTCCACAATCTTGCTTTAAATGCTGAAATCAGTTTCCAATTTTTCCATATCTGGTTTATCATTGAAGTACAGCATCATGGATAAATTGATAAAACCATTTTAGAAGTCCATTTGAGGTACACAATAACTAAAGGGACTTCAGAGGCTCACTGAAAAAAGGTGCTGCCAATGATGCCATCCACTTGCAACCACAACTGAATTTGCAAAGCCATTTTACAACTTATTAGCTTCAAGTTAAAAAGCATCTCTGAAGGTACATTGGTAGACTATTAAAGAATTCCACAGTTGATTTAGCCCCTGTGGTCTCTTCATAGAGGTTGCTGACAAGTTTTCTGTTCAGTGAACTTCTGAAACATTTTCCTCATCTCATATGGTCAATGTTGACCATTTGAGGCAAGGCTTGGAGCTATATAGTGATCAATTTCTAAAATTGCTGGAAGCTATGGAGACTGGCCGATTCAATTAATGTACATAGTTATGAATAAAAAGAGGTGAATACATGGAAAGTTGGGCACTTACATTGCGAGATCTTAGACGACTAGCTATATAAGTAAGCATGAAACACCTAAGAAGCTATATAACTAGAGATTTTCATTAGCAGAGTTTGGAAGGGGGATGGTGATTTAAGAGCCTGAGAGATGTCCCCATATTAGAACTTTGGAGGGATGCTCTAAAATCTAGAGGTTTCAAAATTAGACGGATTAAAACATAAAATATAGAATGCAAGTTTAGTAATAATAGGAGTAAAAACGAGGAAGTAGTTAAGATTGATGGCCAAGAAATACCTAAAAGTGATAATTTTGGATATCTTGGGTCAATAATCCAGGTGAATATAGAAATTGAGGAAGATGTCGCTCATAGAATGAGAGTTGGGTGGGCAAAGTGGAGATGTGTATCTGGATTATGTTGTCGCATTACCAATGAAACTGAAGGGGAAGTTTTATAGAATGATTGCAAGACCAACCGTGCTTTATAAAATAGAATTCTTGGCGGTCAAGAAATAACATATCCATAGGATGAGTGTACTTGAGATGAGGACATGGATGGAAGTAGTGAAAAGAGATATGGTGACTTATGGTCAGACTGAGTGTATGGCCAGCAGAACAGGTTCGTGCAACCAACCCCAAATAGTTGGGATAAGGCTCCGATGATGATGAAAATGATGATGATGATGAGAGATGTCCCCATGTGTTTTATGAACCTTGCATGTTAAAGGCATGCTAGCATAAGATAAACCATTAAAGTTGAACAATTGGTTACATGGCAACTTTCTGAGAAGGCTAATGCGTCACAAATACCAGTTCAAAAAATGGGTCTGCATATTAATCGAATTGATTTTGTTAAACCATAGTTCCATTGCTTTAACATGCAAGTTAAAGTCTTAGGACACAAGCCCTTATAAAACACACAATATTTCAAAACACGGAGAAAGACTTAAAACTGATCACAAGTTCGCTTTGCAGGGTTTCCATGGAGCTTTTAAAAAAAGTCATGGACTTGGCAAGACTCAGCATAAAACTTGCTCTATCTTTTAAAAGCTCAGTTAAATCTCAAGGTATGTTACAAGGAAACCGTTACGAAGTGTTAGCATCTAACGTGGATATGTGCCCAAAAACACCAAACCCATACTGGTTTTTCAGAAATGACTACTCCATACATTATTTAGAGGTGGTGGGATGTGGGAATTTACATGGCACTAAGGACCTTCAAAGTACAATACCGCCCAAAAGAGGCATTCAATCAAGTATATTTTCTATGGGAAAAAAAAGTAGGGTTTCATTTTGGTGTCATGTTTTTGTTTTCACGATGTCTTACTCATCTTAAATGCCATGTACCAATAAATTTTTGTGGATCATTTCAGCGGACATTTGCTGATTAGTGAGGAATTTGACACAAGAATAACATCTCCGGAGACTAGAAATGGAGAATGGCAATTCAACGTCAGTATTAGTGGATATAAATTACTTGTTTTATTTCACTGATAGGATTCAAATTTTGTACATAGATGTTTCCATGACAACAACTTAAACAAGAAGCCAAATCGCTATCTTAGTGGCTATAAACTTCTTGCTCGCATTTTGTTTCTCTATCTAAACACATTTACGACGTGTTAGAAACTTTGCACCTCAACTGCACATCTAAGAGGGAAGAAATTAAAATCTACTTCCCTCAAGAACAGAGAACAAAAAACAAAAACTTTCAGAGCCATTTTATTTCGCTAACACTGCTAGAAACAGTAAAACACACACAAGGAACCACATAACATTATAACCATAAAAAAGGATCCATATGTAAACATAAATGTACAAGAAAACTATGAAAGACAATAGGAAAATAGCTTTACGTTTCCTGAAAAGGATCACCAAAACAGATGCAAATTATATGGAAAGATGACACATACAAGCCGCTTTTAGGATTCACAAAGAAGGAATTAAACAAAGCAGTGCAGTTAAGATGGATGGTTTCACTCGTAAGTTACAAATATTTCAATTTGTGCAAACTTCATTCTTTGGTCACAGTTTACATCGACATTCATCCTTTGAGCTCACTTACTAAGCATTTTATTTATCAGGGTGCAAAGAATCAATTGATTCATACACCAAAAATAGAAATCTGATCCATATGGGGATCCATAATGCAATCTATTCTGCAATAAAGAGTGAAGGAAGTTGCAGACTCACTCAAGCAATTTGATGACTCTTATCCAAAATTGCAAAACACCTCTTTTTTCTTATATATACCCTCTCAATAATCAGCAATTTTCTTTTCTCTGGTAAACAGAGAAGAAGAAAAGTTAACAAATCCCTTGGGATTTGATGAGAAGGAAATCTCCTCTTCTCACACGCACTCCAATAATAACAACAAATTTTCTCAGAACCTACAAGCATGGTGTTCTAGAGAAGATGGAATTGAAGACGAAAATGGTCTGAGCATATTGGATTTTAAACGAAAATTGAACAGTTCTGACGCACAAGATCATCAATTTTGCACAAATGAACAATTGAATACCTCCTTGATGTAGATCGATTTGACGAGACAACAGAGCTTCTAGATTGATTCCAAAGCTTTCTCTATCTAAATTGATTTCAAAGCTCTCTCTTTCTCTCTAGATTGATTTCAAAGCTCTCTCTATCTCTCTCGCTCTCGCTCTCTCTCTCTCTATTTCAAGGCAGGTACCCTTTTTCTCTTTTTCACCCAAAGAACTTAACGGAGAGTTGTGACCCGGCGGGGGCTCGTGAGCCCGACCAGTCCATCTTGGACCATCTCGTTAATTGGCAAGGGTTGAGAGCATTTTTTAGTAAACGGTTTCTACGAGTCCACGTAAAAATCAGAAATGAGTCCCCTCTCAAAAATATATTTTTGAAATGAATTTTAGACTTAATTTTTAAAGATATATAATCTCTAACATGTGAATGATGAATATGAAAAAATAAGTACATTTTAAAATTAAAAATAATGATTTTATAAAGAAAATAAGAGATTATATATAATAAGACAATTTACTTTTGGATTAAGGAAGTCAAAATTACTTACAATTATTTGATGTTATACCTGATAACTTGAGTGTGTCACAAAGTTCGAAAAAAAAATCTTTTGAACTTTGAGCATAGTCAATAAAATAAATACAGCCACCCAATTTTATATCGAATGGTCAAGATTTATTGTAACCCCTTTATACCAAAGGTAAATGATTTCATCATATAATTTCCCATAAAATAATTTGTTAGATGGATGACTAATTTGTATCTATCTTTAAGATAGATGCCTTATTCCTTTGGGGACACAAATGAAGAAACGTGTCCTCTCTCTTCTTTCTCTGACTAAACAACATTAAATAGTTGGAATTGGAAGTCTCTCTCCACCCATTGTGGTAAGGGCAGTGATCTATGTGGTAAAAGTATGGTTTAAAAAGCGGATCGGTGATCCAGATCGAGTATGGATGGGGTATCTCAAAAACTTATCTGGATCAGCGAATTGGCGATCTGAATAGGGAATCGGCTAAATCGGTCGGATTAAACCTTAAACAAAATCCGAAAAAATTCTTAAAATTCATTATAAATGTTTTTTTTTAGGAATTCAATAAGAAATGAGGGTACTCCATTAAAAAATTTCATTTCTTTATGAATATGCGAATATTGATATGTTCTTTCCCCGTATGAACTACTATTTACCATTTAATTTACATCACACAAAAGGATAAACATAAAATTATCATAGATTAAGTCTATCATTATACATGGACTACAATAAAGCTTACAATTCGTAACATACGATCTAAAAATAAGATGACAGACGACGTCATTCGTCATCTTGGTCACGCTGGTGCCATTGATTGAATTCGCGTGACAATTCATTGACTCGATCTAAAAACGAATCATCCAAATTAGTGGGCACCTGACTTTACCCAAATCCCTGAGTATTAGTGTTTTGTTGTGGTCCTAATCCAAAATCCCCGAAACTTGTCCATCCTTCATGCTCACATACACTATCGTATTCATCCCTACCCTCTTGTTGTTAGGACTCGATATGTGAATAATTCGCTGGGATTGGGTGGCCTCAGAATCATCATCTCTCTCATTTTCTATTAGACCCCCTTTCCACTCTCCCTTATTAGGTGCAATATCGCCGACATCTCCGACGAATTGTAAATATGTTGGCGGGTTGCTTCCTCTTTCATACTGCTCATCACCTTTTTCAAGATCTTTCGCACCGATAGCCTCAAGGAACACTCTCTTGTGCAACACTGACTCCTCTTCTTCTACTACTCATTATTCTGTTATGTCGGTGACAAATATTGTATCCAAGTCTATCGGCCCATAGTCTTCAAGCTTCCTTCTTATTTGTCGCTCTCGGAGGTTTAAGTTGTAATGAACGTAGACTAGTTTACGAAGTTTTTCCGAAGCGAGTCGATTCCTCCTAATAGTATACAACTATTGGAACGTACTCCAGTTTCGCTCACAGCCAGTAGCAGAACATGTTTGGGAGAGCACCTTGATTGCTATTCTCTTTAGGTGAGGTGCATCGCTACCATATATCTCCTACCATTCAGCTGGATTAAAATGCAAAAAGCATTGTAAAGGCAAAAACAATTCATAAGATTAAATATATGAATGAACAAAATATTAGTTAGAGGATAACCTGGATCCATCATAGTTCGAGAATTCCTGGCAAGTCTAGTTTCGAAGGATCCTATAGCTATACATAGCAAGCTAAAACAAAATATTTTGTTTTAGTGCATTATTCCTCACAAATATAACAACTCAATCAAGTTCTTACCCAAATATTAATTAATACATCTTGTATTGCTGCTATCTGGTTTCGATGGCTTCTCTCCAACCTGGCAATAATGTATCTGACCCCTTCCATAATCTTGTGGGGATGTTCATATGTCAAATAGAAAAATTTTGGGTTGAAATAGTAACCTAGAAAATATATTGATAGAGAAATGTCATTTAAAATTTCATAAAAAATAATTTAGAATGAAACATTCTAATGATATAACTATATATTTACTTGCGTAATGAATTAGACGTCCAAATTTAGTATTCCACATTCTTTCTATAATCTCGATCATTTTACTAGCAAAACTACACTTCTCCCCAATAGTTGATTTGGCCCTCTCGATACCTTCATAAAGGATGCTCATGGTAGCTTTCTTGTTAGCATCCACCATTCTTAACACTGTGACCAAAGGGGCAGTGGCCTCTACGATACTGGAATATCGAGACCAGAACCTTTTCTTTGAGACTATGCAGTCCACTTTTAGCCCGGTACTGGACTTTGAGAGGCGATCATTTAACCACTCTTCACTGGTAAATAATCTCTTTATTGCACCTTCAAATTCCCGAATGGAGTCCACAGCCAAGTAATCTGTCGCAAAGTGGGTTATGGCAGGCCTGATTATCTCTTTTTTCTTAAATTGTTCTATGAACAAAAATAAAATTTTAGAATGGTTATATATAAATCTTGACACCAACTTCGCTTCTTGTAAAGTCTCCTTCACAATTTTGATCTCACCGATCTCCTCTAACATAAGATTGATGCTGTGTACAGCACACGGGATCCATACTAGATGCTTCTTCTTATCCATCAACTTGCTGCCCGCAGAAACACATGCACACACATTGTCCGTAATAAACTAGACTACATGCTTATCTCCCACCTCCTCCACTATCTGATTATATAGTCGTACGTAAAAGTTTGCATCCTTTTTCGTTCCTGATACGTCTTTGCTAGACAAAAAAGTTGTACCTTTTAGAGAATAGGCTAAGAAGTTTATAAACTCATTTTTGCTAACTTTATTCAACCAACCATCGCTCATAAGAGTAATGCATGTTCTTGGCCAACTCTGTTTATATTCTTCAATCCACTTTCTAACTTCCTCCACCTCTTCATCTAATATTGGCCCATTGAGCTCATATGCCGTAGGGGGTTTTACCTCGGGCCCGGCTCTTTGGATTGCGTTGACCATAGGTGAAAAATATGGGCTATTGGCTGTATCAAAGGGGATCCCTTTATCGTAGAACTATTTACCAACATATCTGCCCAACATGTTTCTCGTACCTTTCACCATGCCTTTGAGGGTCATCTGTTCTGACTTAGGCTTTGAAAGAAATAGGTCTATACAACCATGACCTACAATACTGACACTCCTAGATAAGCTAAAAACAATTTCTTCAACGTCTGATTCCTCTTGATACATATTGCCACCAACCCCTCCATACATATTTGAGCTGGGCTTGCCACACATGCTCGAGATGGGCCCACCATGCATGTTTGAGCTAGGCCCACCATGTATGCCCATGTCATAACCACCAGGCATTATAAACCCACGTTCCCTCTGGTATGTTTCTTGTAAACTCATTCTTGTGGCCATCTCCAAGTCATTATTATATTGCTCTTCTGGATCATTCCCGCTTGATGGCGTATATAAACTAGCTATCTCCTCATCCATCATCTGCTTTGCACTTTTTTTATATTTGGTAGCCTTGAGAAATGCCGTCATCTGCTTTCTTACATTATTAGGGACATTATTGCACGCATAAACATATCATTTAACCCCTATCAATTGTTGCTTGAACCTATGGACCCCACTACTTATCACTCCTTGACACTAATTACAAATAATTGCCTTTTTTTTTGGGATCAAGTCTGACCCCATGTTGTTGTGCAGGGTCTTCTGCAAATCTTGCCATGGTTCAACTTTAATATGTAAAAGGCTAAAAATTAACCTGACAGTTCAACATGAAAAATAATCACCATGTGTAGTGATAATATGTAGGGGTAGTTCATGAAGTTATATTTGTTGTTAATACAAATTACATCTATTAACAAAAATATTTTAGTTCTTACTGGGAAAAATAATTTATTTATGCAACATTATAGATAAAAATAGCCTATATCAGCCACTACATATAGAACAAAAAATTTACATTGATATAGTATCAATAAAAAATTTATTTACAATGGTATAGTAATTCACAATGCCAATACATATGGACTTGTCACAAATCTTCATTTCAACAAACATGAATTACTTCCTATTGAGAAAAAAAAAATATTTATGCAATATTATAGATAAAAGAAAGTCTGTATAAGTCACACTTAGAATCAAGAAAAAAATGACATTAATATAGTCATCTGTAATGCCACTACATGTATATTTGACACAAAAAACATTTACAATGATACAGTCATTCACAATGCCACAAATAAAATTTACAATGATATAGTGGGCACAATCACAACTCAATTGAAATGATCACAAATAGTCGTACATCTCAATTACAAATATGCAAGATAATATAATAAAAAATGTAAGCTCCAAACTTGGCTACAACTCAATTATCAAGAACATATATTTTTTGCATTAAAAATTTAATAATAAAATTGGAAAATACAAGATAATATAATTATCATACATGCCACGATTTTTTTACAATGATATTCACGTTAATTCCTCATGATAATACAATTTAACAACATGTATTTTTTGCATTAAAAATTTAAAAATACATTTTTAATGTAAAACTGCATTAAAAATATAACACAGTTTAACAACATGTACTTGTTGATGTATTTTTTTGCATTAACAACAAATTAAAAATACAGTTTTGCATTAAAAATATAATAATA